ACAGGCCCCGTGTTAGTTCAGAAAATAATTTTGAGTATTTTCATATGACGAAGCTAAGGACCCCATAACTAGACAACATTTTTTTTAAATACCCCAGAAGCTGCAAATTTTAAAACAACACTCTCAAAAGATCTCAAACAAGCAACTGTAAGAATAGTAAAACCGGCATATTCGGGTATTTTGGTTCCTACTTCCCAAACAGACCAACTGCCTAGAACTAACTAAAATCCTGAGGTCCTTGCACCTATTTGTGGGATAAGATACTATTTAGAAAAGAAGTATCAGTTGAATTAAAGGCACTAGAAGATGGATGATGATATTTAAGTGGTCAGGAAAAATAAACTCAACCAAACTATTCGCTCGTTTGCAGCCATGGGATTGCTCAGCCCCTGGAACTGCTTTAGATCTGAGAAAATATTTTAAAAGAAATTACCCAGTGCAAGAATAAATACTATATATATGATTTAGGACCCTTTTTGATAGAATGATACTTTTTTAATTCAGTTTTTTACACACACGTGCACAAACACCTTTCTCTCCCTGAAAATGAGTACTGTTCTTTAGTTTTCCTCGTGAACTGTGGTGGGGGACAATCTAAACATGCTGTAACACATGTACACCCATGACGTCAACAAATCTATTTGGTATGAATCAACTGAAATATCAGTCTACATCCTTGAAGGAGAAAGTCCCGAAACTACAAATTTCTTGTGACACCTGCTGTTAAGTGTTTGACAGTAACTGTGCCAGCCACTCTAAAGCTGTATGAACAGATTACACTATATAAGGAATAATATCCCAATCCAGAAAACACTGAAGTATGTCCTGGCTCCTTCCATGGAAGTAGTCATATATTTTGTATGTTAAACACAATATGGGATTTCTCAGACTGAAAATATTTTGGCTTTAGGCTCCAATTAGTCCTAGCATAAGAAGAGGGCGTCAGATAAAACACGTGTCTCTCAAATAATCTGCATTTAAATTACAATTAAAACCCACCCACATTGGCACCACCCCATGTCTACTCAGCAGCTATTTTGGCAGCAAAAGCCCCTTCTCCTCCCTGCACCCCTGTGCTGCCCCCCGTGAAACGCCATGGCCCAGCGCGGGTGGGTGTCTCGGCCCCTGTCCCACAGCCCGGCACAGGGTACCGCACACCGAGTTACAACTGGAAACGCTTTATTTTGTCTAGAGTTTTTTGAAGAAGGTCAGAATTAGAAAAATGTGGGATGTTATACCAGTAACTTCACCAAGAAAAAGAATTCCTTTTAGCCAGTACACTTCCTCTAGGCAAATTAACATACAAATTAAACTAGCAGGGACAAAGTAGTATTGAAATAATTAAAACTCCTCCAGCGGCACAATCAGAGGCTCGTTCACATTGGCGGGAGTCTCCCCACAGCCCCGCCGACCCCCGGTTAAAGCGCTGGGAGGCACAGGAACGCAAGCTGAGCTCCCTGGCAAAGGCTGCCAGACCCGGCTGCGCTGGAAGAGCAGGTACCTGAAAGCCG